TTAATGGTATTTGGAGACTCCCTTGAGTTCGTTTTGGTAATGTTCTTCAATCGAGCACCACTCCCACCACGGTGGCTGCTTCCAGTGTTCTGGAATCAGTCACCAAATCCCTGGAGCGTCCCCAATTCTTTTGCAATGATCATGTGGATGGGCGTCTACCTGACCTTTTCCAGGATAAGCACTAGCAGTTTTTTTTGCGTTCCCCTTTTCTTCGGGAATTCATTCTGTGCACCATATCTTAGTTCTGAAACCCATTTGACGCTTTTTAGACTCCCACAGAATATTGTTTTATGTGTTTACTGTGACCTCGATTGCGACCAAAACGGGCGAAATGACCCACTATCCCTGCCTTAACAACTTATCGGAAGCTTTATCATTTTGGCTTTCGCAGATAAATAGTACAAATAATACCAAGGAAATGAATGGTACCAAATATTGAATGGTACCAATAATTCTCCTTGCAGACCGATGATGAACGAACCGCTCTACATCGCGTCCACACAAGGTCAAGTGGATGGCTGTAATGACGATAGCAACTGTGACCAATATATGCCTTTTGCAAAATGTCATACCACAGCATCAGATCCGGCAAAGCATTTGTATAAAGGCCTTTGTTACTCAACAAACGAGACGACATTTATTAGTGAGTTTTGGCTTCTCTCTTTCATTTCCTGATATTGTATAGCCCACTGTGGACTGTAGTGCTGCACTCATCTAGGCACATTTTCATTTTTCGCAGCAACAACCAACAATTTATTGATAATCCCATCAGAAATAATAAATTTGCCGCCTGCAGATTCTGAAGACCTACCAAAAGTATGGCTGTGGGGGTGTGGAAAATTTGACGCAACCACCCCCTGAACAAATTGATGGGATAACAGGGTCGATTATGAAATTGTGGATACCATGCTGACTGTAAGTAAAAAAAGAAGCAAAGCGTCAATGAAGCCCTCAAACAATGGCTGTCTCTCTTTCCCCTTGAATTGAGGAATGGGCGGGGCCGGACGAGTTTTCCGAACTCGCTTGCTCCATGGCTCCACTAAGCCGCGCGTATTTGAATAGCCGCCGCCATAATCCACCCTGCGCATCCTGGGGCGTGCACGAGGTGACTCGTCCATAAATTCACGTTAGTGACATTAGATCACTTTGTAAGGCCGTAACGCCATCGTCGCATACTTTCGGGACGCGACAACGGCACATGTGATCGTGAGTTATTTTATCCTTTTCACAGGACATACTCTCCGACGCGACCTCTTCTGGGGCTGTTGCTTCAATTAAATCAAATAAAACGGTTGTGCGCAACATGCATGCGCAACGGATCAAATCAAGCCAAGCGCTGAAGCTTCAAAAGTTGGGGAAGTTATGTGTTTATAAGAAGATTGATTCATTGTAGCATCTGCCACTGAAGCCACTTCTGCATCTACCACTGAAATGGCCACAGAAGAGAGTACTACAATGGCTGAAACGACTGAAGCATCGTCTATGACAACTGAAGGAAGACAACTATGGGTATGACGACTGAAGAAACGACTATGGGTATGACGACTGAAGAAAACTATGGGTATGACGACTGAAGAAACGACTATGGGTATGACTGAAGAAACGACCTATGGGTATGACGACTGAAGAAACAACTATGGGTATGACGACTGAAGAAACGACTATGGGTATGACGACTGAAGAAACAAACTATGGGTATGACGACTGAAGAAACAACTATGGGTATGACGACTGAAGAAACAACTGACAACTATGGGTATGACGACTGAAGAAACAACTATGGGTATGACGACTGAAGAAACGACTATGGGTATGACGACTGAAGAAACGACTATGGGTATGACGACTGAAGAAACGACCATGGGTATGACGACTGAAGATACCTCTATGACAAGTGAAACAACGGCCATGACTACTGAAGTAACTTTTACAGAAGCATCAACAACAACAACACCCTTTTATAATCCCATGACAGACATAATTCGCATGAATATTACCAACATGCACAATTATCGCAGGTATGTTCGTTCAAATAAAGATATGATCACATACAGTCGTAGGTCAGTAAGACTGGCGGATTGCTGATGAGAAACTGCAGTGCCTTGGGGTGTTCATGCTATGATTAACGGGTTCAGAGCCTGTCTGAAGAAGGATTCTAAAAATTGGGTCGAAGGGAAAATTACCTAGTGGTAAGACAAAAGGACCCCGCAATAGTGCGACCGACACGCAGTTGGCAGCGAAGGATAAGCCCCCGCAATCTAGCATGACCCTCCTCGCGGCGCTATCGGCGCGGCACGCCCATCGACTGGCTAACCACTCGCCGCCGCACTAGCCGTTAAGCAGAAAAAGCGTTAGCGTAGAAGAGGGCAGCACCGATGGGAGTTGCATCTGTGGGAAATTAACGGGCAAGGAAGGGATCCTCCCATTTTTAGGGTTCTGAGCCGTTTCTCATAGTCTTTTCTTCATCCTGGCACCCCTGACCTCCTCTACTTTTCGTTCTCATGGGTTGCCTCCTATTCGTCATCTCCGCCTTTAGTTCGGGTTTTCCTCCTTTCATAGAAGTGTGTCACCGATTGAAATACCCTCAAATGGTAGAGGAAGTAGTTAGCATAATTGTTGGCATCTATGGAGTCTCAGGCCCACGCCTATGCAGCTGCTCCACCCTACCACTGCTACATTTATCGGCCTGTATGTACTGTGCTGTCATACTTCATTTCGCAACTTAGGGAGAGTAGGTAAGAGAACTTTCATTTAAACATCAGCCTAGAAGGGAGTGGAGTTCCCTAGACGTACAGTAGCGGTCAAAAGTCTTCGCCGAAATTGTTTTTCGACTGTAACTTTTTTTCCGCTGAATCAAATCAATTCAAATTTTAATATGTTTTAGAGATAGTCCTACTTCACTTAAACGGCATATTTGTTTCGGGATTGAGAAAGAATTAAGAATGGAAAAAATCATTTCACTAGAAATTCTCGCGTATGAGCAAATTCCAAGTAGGTTTCAAATTACTCTAGCAAGCTTACAATTCAACAAAACAATCTTACGCATGATGAATAACACTGGGCAGGTCCAATACTTTGTTAATGATCTTCTGGGTTCGCTGAAATACTAACAAGGCCTAAGTAAGGAATCAGTCATTGAATGCACTGTCTACTAGGGCAGCTTCCTCCACTTCTCTTGAAATTTGACGAGTTTCTCGCCCATATTCCCGGCTCTTATTTCCACCAAAGGTATCCCTACTCTTTCCCATAATGTTTCGATGGCGCTCGGGACATTGGTGTGAATTGTTCCCTTCGTTGAAAGCGCGCCATGCTGTCGAAACCAATCCTTCACAGTGAAGGTGCGATGCTTTTGGTCGCTCTATAGCTAGAAGGCGAACTCAGTCACGTACAGTTTCATACGAGCGGATACGAAACTCCTTCTAGAATCTATCTGATACGTCGGCATTCACCACTTCTCTAATCCTGTGCAGTTGTAAAACTTCTTTTACGGACTACCACACGCGAGCCTCCGCCAAGTTTTACATACGGCAGTTAATTCCTTGGATCGAAACGTTTTTTCCTCAGGACCGCACACATTCCTATTTCAGTCGCCGGCAAACATCTTGAATTTACTCTCGTTGGTCCGCAGGACGTTGTAGCCCTATGGGGATCCCCACTTTAGGTGTGCGTAAGCCACATTTCGCCCCCGACCAGTTCACCGCCGACTAACTTCGCAGTATTCGCAATCATGTGAAGGCAGCCTATACAGTTGGGTTCTAGAAGGAGCTCTTATCCACGTGTATGACAGCTGCCCGCGACTGAGCTCGCCTTCTAGCATTAGTGCGACCAAAAGCATCACACCTTCACTGTGAAGGAGTGGCTTCGCCAGCATGGCGCGCTTTCAACGAAAGGAACAATTCACACCAATGTCCCGAGCGCCATCGAAACATTATGGGAAAGAGTAGGGATACCTTTGGTGGAAATAAGAGCCGGGAATATGGGCGAGAAACTCGTCAAATTTCAAGAGAAGTGGAGGAAGCTGCCCTAGTAGACAGTGCATTCAATGACTGATTCCTTACTTAGGCCTTGTTAGTATTTCAGCGAACCCAGAAGATCATTAACAAAGTATTGGACCTGCCCAGTGTTATTCATCATGCGTAAGATTGTTTTGTTGAATTGTAAGCTTGCTAGAGTAATTTGAAACCTACTTGGAATTTGCTCATACGCGAGAATTTCTAGTGAAATGATTTTTTCCATTCTTAATTCTTTCTCAATCCGAAACAAATATGCCGTTTAAGTGAAGTAGGACTATCTCTAAAACATATTAAAATTTGAATTGATTTGATTCAGCGGAAAAAAAGTTACAGTCGAAAAACAATTTCGGCGAAGACTTTTGACCGCTACTGTATATCCTTCGAAGCAGTAGTCGTACTGAACGCAGCAATGTCCCTCAACGGCCCACCTCTCCCTTGTTCTGAAATACCTGGCGATCAAAACGACTCTGATTCAACACTGAAGGAGGAATTTTACGAAGTGCAGTTGCAGGAAAACTAAAAATTACTGAACAATACATACATAGGACATACAAGTAGGAAAGTGAATGAAATGCAGTTACTCACTAGCGCTGTTCTAGACTGAGAAATCAGGGCAGCCTTCTAGATCCGCAGCTTTTCCTCATTGGAAAAACCAAAGACAAAGTTTCATTCTCAAAGCTAACTTTTGTTGTAATTTGTCCCAAGTAAGAGTTTACTCAGAAAGATTTCTGTGGTCTGTCTTTCAGGTCAAGACTCGCCCAAGGATTAGTCCCGAACGGTATGACAGGCACTAAACTTCCCCAAGGAATGAATATTTATAAACTGGTAAGTGCGCTTATTCATGGCGAAGAGCAGGCTGAACAACGGTTGACGAAACCATGACCATGGCCCTGATTGTGTGGATATTGTGTTGAGAGTTAATGTACGCGCGGAGGGCTCAGACGGCTCGCGCGTTGCGGGAGTGAATGTTCACATGGTGGAGCGCGACTGAACAGGCGGAAATACTCGACGAGCAGTCGCCGGATCCTCGACCGATATTCACCCTGGCGTACAGTAGCATGCCTATTTATAGCGTAGGCTTTTTACCACCTAGTTTCCTGTACAGACTAAACAATTTTCTTTTTGAATAGCCTTTCCATGTCATACACTATTTTGAGGTGCTTTCCAGACGTACAGCACGACATTGGAGCACGACGCTCAAGCTTATGCGAACACCTGCCCATCCATGGGCTCCAGTCAGTCGTCGCGCAGTGGTCAAGGCGAAAACTTTGCAACGATTTCGACCAGCGAAGCTAATTCAACCCTCGTAGCAATTTTCAGAGTGCGTCTTTTTCTGTGATTTCATCTTCTTTGTGATCCACTCCGTTTTGCACATACAGTGCTTTTCAGGCAATTCAACAATTTTGGCGTGTGATCAAATCGCAGAGCATCAACCCGTCAATGGTGTTTTCGGGAACGCTTATTCAAAACGAATATTTGCAATCATTTACACAGGTAAGCATCACAGCACAATAAGGGAAGGCCCTCGCAGACGAACATGGAAAAGTATAATGAATGTGGATAATCCAACCTTTCTGTTACAATACTTTGTAAGCCGTCTGGTAAGAGTGCATTAAGCTTATTCGTCCTTTGAAATGCCCCTCACACATTACCCACATGTTCAGAGCGATGAACTCAGAGCACGGGTGGATTAGGTCCATATTGGTCCATCTTAGAGTGAGAAAGAGGGGTCTCAAGCGCAGGTGGCACGACACTGTCCCGGCCTCAAAAGTGCGAGGAAACGGCGCTAAGGCCGGCGATACTTTGCGAATCGAGCGATTCGCTAGCGAATCGCTGAATCC